TCCACCCTCAGCTTCAGCTCCTTCCATGAACACTTTGCCCCAGGTTTCATTTTTATCTCTGTGCTTGCCTCACTGTACAAACATTAATGAAGACATATTTATCTATACTCACAACCTCCATTGTTATTTATATAGTTATGATCCCCAAACTATCTTCCCAGCCTCCATTTTTCCATCTACCTAGGCATGCAGACCTATTTTTTACATTAATCACTTGACTGTACAAATTATCCACAAATCAATATATGTCAAAATGACATGATCCTATCCCTCCTATCTGTTCAGTATTTCTTAATTTCCTGTCTTCTTCCCTGTGGTAGATACCCTACTAAAGTTAGAGTCATTGACACTGTCTTTTGTATTGCTTTTGTTTTCTCAGCATACAAACTAAAATGTAACCAAAGTCCATTCCTACTAGCCAAAGCTACCAAGTATTTTTGGAATAAATACTTTCATCTCTACCTCATTGTTACCAAAGACTCCCTGGGCCGATCCCTCCCAGCTGAGTGCTCTCATCTGCATCTTCAAACTCATCTTTCTTGTTCTTGTCAAAGCATTTATTTCACTTCCCTAAAATCCTTCAGTGACTCCAGAGGCTTTTAGGAGACATTCGAAGCTGTTGTAAATGAGACCTAAGTTAATGCCTCGAGTGTTAGAAAGCAATTCTTACATAAGAGATGGTGATCAGCTCCTATTTTGCAAAACTCCCAGGGCTCAACCCAGATCTCTTCTTTAGTTGCCCATTTTTGGGACATGACATCAATCCCCTAAATTCTTTCATTGGAAGGGATTCTATCATGCTGAGCTAAGTACAGAGATCAATGATACCACTATGTGTCCAGAGGGACATTTCTACTGTCATATTCTTGGGTCACTTCATGATCCTGGGGCCAGTTCCCAGTCTTTTGGAGGGCCAGAGCACTAGAGGCCCCCAGAAGCTGGTTATTTTCTTAAATAACAGAAGACCAACTCAGCAAAATTGTAGTCTCAAATCTGCATCAACATTTTCAGAGACTAAAGAAATAGTATTTGAAAAAAAAATGTTGCTTGGCCATCCATCCATTCACAGTGTTCCTCTTCTGCAAGACTTGACAGAACTGTCTTTGATGTTGGGATACTGCTGCTGCTGCTGCCTATCTCACATGGACTACAACCCAGGGTGTAGACAGAAGTCACAGCTTCCACTTTCAGATGTGAACAGTGACTAAGCAATGTCTGGGTCAGGGTTCATTCTTCCCTATTTCATTCCTTAGCAAGGACAGATTTTATTTCCTGGGTGTTGTGAACACATCTTATTTTTGTTACACCTGAATTGGGTATCAATAATATATTACACCCTGTAGTGAAATAATGCTTGCTTCTTAACTGGAAACATGATCTCATCACAAAAGAGGCTACATGGGTTAATAGGGAAAATAATTAGTTCTATTAATATTTACTGTTAAACTCGATCTGCTTTCTATGGGAACTTAAAAAATAACAAAAAAGCTCACTCTTCAGACATGCATATGTCTCCAGAAAGAGATGGTTAAGTTCCTTATTACCTTCCTTGAGAAAGGCAGACCACCTGCAGCTATGTGTGGTGCTTCCCGGTCAACGTGAAATTCTGCCATCCAGTAGCTTCCTCCTCTAGCACCCTGGATGGATTTGCTAGACCAACAATGGTCATTTCAACATGCTAAGGGAAAACAATGGTTTTCTTTCCTTTCAAACTCTTAATTCCTCTAAAATGATTCCCTGATGGAAACAGCATGTAGTTTAACATTTGAAATGATATAAACCCTTCATATAATTATCTCTATATATAATTGTATTTTATTACTGTGGCTCAGCCATATTTCAAAACAGTAATGTAATGCTTAGACTTGTTAAATAAAATCTGTTTGTTCTAGCTGGGGAGTGTATGAGTCCTAGGATTATCACTCTGGATCCTGAGTCCACACTTTGGTTTTGCTATGGTCATGCCCTTCACTGAGCTATTTCAAAGTTTAATTACCTATTATCTTCCACTGTGCTAGATAACTAAGCATTATGTCATTTATTAAATACTTGGTTCCTAATGCCCAAATTAGTTACACAGTACCTTCTTCCCCTCACCCGCCATTCTTTGCTGAATTTGAGGCCCTATTCTGCATTTCCCTAAATTGCATCATAAATCAGAAAATACACATCTTAATACAAATTAAATTCATTTTCCAGGGGTTCAATTGGAGCTGCTGCAGCTCGGTGGTAACACTGTCTTTAGCCACAACTTCCCTCACATGACTCTCTATAGACGCTCTTTCCAGAAAGTATATGGGACTCAGAACACTGTATAGCAGTCAAAAGGTCTATGGTAAAGAAAAAAAAATTAGCTTCTTCTTTAACCTTTTTCCATGGAGAATTAGCCTGAAAATACACTCACACTTTTAGCTGAGAGCCAGGGAACTCCTTCATAAATGGGCACATGATCTCACTGTCCACATATAGCAAACCCATTTTGTAAAAATGTAAATTTATTTGAAAAGAGAACGTCATAGCCTGTACTCTATCCTCCATAAATTCCTGTGTGGGAGCCAAAAACCTTCACGGTAACTGGATCTGGAGACAGGCTTTTCAAGGGTGTTTGATTAAAGGGTAAATAAATAAAAGTGCTGATGCCCAAATCCAGTAACAGTGGTGTTCTTCTACAGAAAAGAAGGGATGCTGACCTGCCTGTCTCTCCATGAGTGGGCCCAGAGAAAATCCCAAGTGAAGGTACAGCAAGAGAGATCAACATGCAAGCCAGGGGGAGAAGCCTCACCACGGCCCATGCCAGCTAGGACCTGTGAAAGCCAGGGAACGAGGCCTCACCATAGATCACACCTACCAGCACCTGTGCAAGCCAGGGAGACAGGCCTCACCATGGACCACACCTGCCAACACCTGTGCAAGCCAGGGAGACAGGCCTCACCATAGATCACACCTACCAGCCCCTGTGCAAGCCAGGGAGACAGGCCTCACCATAGATCACACCCACCAGCACCTGTGCAAGCCAGGGAGACAGGCCTCACTATGGACCACACCTGCCAGCACCTTCTTAGTTAATGGCTTGCAGAGAAGGAAGAAACAGAGCTCTCACTGAACTTGCTCTACCAGCCCCAAACACTGATACAGTTGCTAGGTGAGCTGGTGCATTGCCAGCTTGTCCCATTGCAAAGCCACCATGGCACAGTTTTCAAACTTCAACACATACCCTGCAGCAACTCCGTGAACTATACAAAGATACAAAATCTTCTTTCCCCCACATTATGAGTCAGTGGCATCTACAACTTCTGTCTGCAGTCACGGTTGTATTAGTGTACATAAGTATTTAATCTACAGCATATAATGTGTGTCACACAATAATATTTTCCTAACTGTAAAAGTTGAAGTGTGTGCATGCACACATATGTGCCAATATTTCAATGCACTTGAAAGTCATTTAGATGAACCCCTGAGCTGCTCTCTTTTTAGCTGTTATCCAAATGTTTTCTTACTACAACATCTTTTTATCTCTGAAAATTTCAAGATTCAGAAAAGTATACATAAAGTTCCCAACTCCACACATCCCAAGCCCACAACTTAGATCCTTTCTGGTCCCACTGAAAAGAGGACTCTGACCCAGTTTAACATATGGAGCATTCTGTCTTACTGATTTTCTCACAATAAAAAGATTTTTGACATATGGTATAACTGAGACACAGAAGAACACATCTAGACTAAATACACGAAACCCCAACTGGGCAATGTACCCAAGGGATGAAGCATTAGGTACCTCACACTCTTGCTTGTTACCATGAGCACCTAAGGTATCGATAAAAACTGTATGACTTGACATGTTTCAAAAACAGTAAGACAAAATTCATAAAAAGAAATCAAATTCACTATTTCTTGTTTTATTCCCTTTCATTTGAGTACATAATTAAAGAAGGAGTGCTTTTAACAACCAGAGATTTGACATAGGTACATTTTGGCCTATGAACGGCAGATAATGAAATGAACAGGCTAACCAGAGGAAGGCATCTGAGTGCTACGGGTGCACATCAGACAGACCTGTGACTCCCCTAAACAATTAGCAAAGTTGGCAAGTCCCAGCAGAAAAAAATACAATGTTTATTAATAAACAAGCAAACAAACAAAAACAAACAAACAAACCCACAACTCAATCACCCTCCAGGAACCAATGGTACTTCTGGAGATATAAATATAAAATCAAAACTGAATGTCCAAGAATAAAATTTTCATATAAACACTTACATTTTAAAATTCCAAAAACTTCATATATCAAAATTCTCAAGATCATTGCTATATGTTTTGTATAAAATATGTAAAATTCTGAGTACTTGCAAGTTCTGACTAAAAGAGCCACAGTGTATACAGTTTTCCAATATATATGTGTATGTTTAAATGTGAACATGTACACATTTATACAGACATCAGTAAAAAGAAAATAACTGGAAATGGGAAAAAATCATTATATAAAGCAATCACTATTTGTTCTATGATATGCTGATACATTTTTTCCCATTGCTGTGAATTGATCATAGGGTTTCATGTATGTTAGGCAAGTGCTCTACCATGGAGGTATATTACACCCCTGCATGTTTTCTTTTCTTTTTATGGAATAGACTTCACTTTGTGCCATTGCACCAAAGAAAAAGAAAACAAAAGAAAAATATATAATTAACAAAATATTTTAAACTGTGTCTTTGTGCCATTGCACAAAAGAAAGAACACAAAGGAAAAATACATAATTAACAAAATGTTTTAAATTATGCCTTTTTTGTTACAAATAAACCTGAGTTCCCACATAGCCACTGACCCAATAAATATTCAACAAATACTGAAACTGACCAAACTATAACTCCTGTATTTGTTATTACTTCATACAATAAATTTACACTAATGCAAATATGCAGAGTTTAAACTTCTAAGTATTTTTTAAAAGAACATAAACCAACCCTTTACCAGATGCTGCTTCCACACACCCTCACCCTCACCTCTTCCTTTGTTTTCTTAGATATCACCCGCAGCCAGTCTCCAATCATGCTCAGAACAGCAGCAAAGTAAGCAAGCCCGACGAGGATCCAGAACCACACAACAGGCTTATAGAAGTCCAGATACTCAATGTCCGATCCACCTGCAAGAGAAAAGCAAAATTGGACACAACGGTCGTCATCTCAGGAGTCAATAACTGAGATCTCCCACATACTCATTGGCTAAACTGTGGCTCAAGGGCAGATCTCTTGGCCTTTCCCGCCGACCCAGGCTCTTCCTTTACACTGAATTTCTCCTGTTCTCAGGTTTTCAAGGACCAGTTCAAAAGGTGCTTCTGAAGGATGCTTCCTTCTCTTTCCGGGTCATGGTAACTGTCAATGTTTCCTGATTCTTTTTATGACCATCTGTCTCTCAGGACTCAACTGCCCCATATGCACCTAATCTCTCTCCATTCCCACTGAAAAAGTACGAGTCAGAGGCTGTTTCCACACCATGCAGAGGACGCGTACATCAGCCCACTGCCTATCAACCTGTGCCATCCAGCAGATCTGCCAAACTGAACCGGAAGTGGGTGACATCTTAAGTAGGGTGGTCTGGTAACAAGCTCGAGGCAGAGCAGCCATGGGTCTGTGGAGAATCGGAGGTCTTTACAGGCAAGGTTACAATCATTATCTATGAGGAATTCCCATGATGACATCAATTTAAGCCCTACATCTCCAGAAAGAATACGCAGAAGAGCACTTTTTTTTTAAAGGGAATCAGTGTGCAGCCATCACTGTACTGTGGGAATCTGCTGTGCACATTTCCAAACATCCTTCCACTCAGCACAACCAACAGAGGTAGTTATGAAGTGTCAGATGCTGAAATCCTGACTGGTTTATCCAAATAAGTAGTCAAGGCTGTGTCTTATGAAATCCAACTTTAACCTGAGAAATCTTCACATTGAGAATGGAGAGATGCCTTGGTGTATAAAGTGATTGACATTGAGTTCAGATCCTCAAAACCCGTGCAAAAGCTAGATGTCAGAGCTCACCTCTGTAACTCCAGGGCTCCTACCCAGATATATGGGTCATGGGGACAAAATAATTCTTAGAAGTTTCTAGGTCAGCTAGCCTGGAGTACGCAGTAGTGAACTAGAGACTGTCTCAAGAAAAGGTGGAAGGCAAGAACTGACCCCTGAGTTTGTCCTCTGACTTCTGATATACCTGTGCCCTGCATGCACATGCATGCGCGCGCGCACACAATCTGAACAGGAAAGAAAGCCTCACAGAGACAGTTGCTCACAGCAGAGTGTGTGTAGCAGGACAAAGGTTACATAGTTCTGTGGAAGAACACAGGGAGGAAGAGAATGGGAAGGCAGAGGGAACTTTCAAGTGATGAGTATCAAGACACTGTGAGAAGCCACTCTCTCTTCAAAGGATTCTTGTAGAGGATCAGCCAGAGTATGAATGAGGGCCAGAGAATGGTCAAGGCCAATGAGGAGGATAGAGAAATAGGGTATGCCGGATGATAAAAACCTGGATTGTAACTCAGTGGGGACTGGGCTATGTGTATAAGGGAAGTGGCCTGTTTGTGGTTGACTGTATGATCAAAAGGATCTTAGTGGCTGAAGGGGTGGGGTGGGGAGAAGCCCCAAGAGATGCTCCAATTTGGGAGCAACTGGGAAGTTGCTATGTTGAATGAGGGCAAGCCTGGGAAGGAGAGGCTTGAGGTGGAGCAAAGGCTGATGAGACAATGTTGACCAGACTGTCTCTGAGACCGCAGTCCCTTACTTGGGAGAGGACCAGTAGCTGCATAAGGGATAAGAAAATCATCGACTAAAACCACCACAAATGGTCTAAGTTGGGACTTGACAGGCTAGATATGTTTAGAGACCAACATGTGAAATCACCCAGCAGAATTCCCACGTGCAGGCCTAATGTGGCATTGTGAGGCAGAGCAGGGGACAGCGTCTTAAAGCCAACTGCATAGACAGTGAGGATATGCAAAAGTTTGATCCATGGCTAGAAAACAAATGTGCACTGCATTCAAATGTAAAATATTAATGGAACATTCCTCTAGACAAGTTGGACTTTGGAGATCCCACAAAGACGCTTTTGAATGTGAAAGAAATAAGACAAATGGGCAGAGAGGGCTCTAGCAGGTAACCATGGTAAATAAGCCCATAGCCTGAGGACAGCCTAGAGGTCTAGACACAGTAAGATGCCCTCTAAGATAGGACCACTGGAAAAAAAAAAAGAAACAAAAACTTCAACTTCATCGAAATGCTTAGGACTCTTCTAACACATGAGCTCACGGACACTCTGATTTTAGCACAGCCTGCATGCTGAAGATGACATTTTATGTCTTTTTTATAAATGGGATGTTACAGTTGGGAAGGGGTGAGTTAGCTTAATCATCAAAAGGCCTATATTTGGGTAAAATGTTTAACCCAGAAGTTTTAGTGATTCAAAGCCATGGAAAACGTTTTTTCCCCTTTCTTAATTATCACGCTTAAAATGAAATACTGGCAGTTAGGTGATCTAAGAAGACAAACCCCAAGAAAGAAAGCTTTGTCAGACAATTATGCATGCTATTCACTTCCCAAATCTGAGGAGTACGAGTTGATGTGCACATTAATCAGCTCATCTGATGCAGAAATTATCCCTAAGTTAGTAGATCTGTAATGTTGAGATAATTTAATTTGGGACGGGGTATTTTAAAATGAGGAAATGATCTTAATCTTTTTATTTTTAGTTGCAAGTATGTGAGAGTGTACATGTATGTGCACATGTGTGCAGGTGCCTGCTGAGTCCAGAAAAGGATGTCAGAGTCCCTAGAGCTGGAGTTAACAGCAGTTGTGAGCCACTGTAGATACTGGGAACCAAACTCTGATCCTCTGCAAAAACAGCAAGTGTTTTTAACCACTGAAAGTGCTTTTTTTATTCTTGACTGTCAGGAGTATTAATTTTCTACCTAGTGTTTAGGAATGTGTCCAGGTGTCTCTTACTAAGACAGTGATGTAGCTGGGCGTGGCAGCTCACATCTGTAATCTAGCACGTGGGTGCTGAGGCAGGATTGTGAGTTTAGAGCAGCCTAGAGGACACAGTAAGATGCGGTCTAAACCATAAACAATAAGGGATGTAGAGTGATTTCTCTGCCCTCACTTGAGTGCCTGTACCATTTCTTCTCTTCCCCTCACTGTTGGTGTTGTGGACTGCAGGGTTCTCTGCCCTCCCTCCCCTCCCGGGTCCTCCACTGACTTGGCAAATCAGTTTCTCCACTTCATTTTCTTCTTGTTGCCATAGAAAATGTGCACATAAGCTCTTTCCATTTTAGGAGCTTTCTGACTCATTATAAGAGAACATACAGATAGCAATAAAAATACCAAAGAGGGGTGGAGGCAGACAGCTTCAGGAACCTCATCAACTTTTCCAAATAGTTACAGGAAGTCGAAGCTTGCTGAGTCTCTTCCGGGATGTGTGGCAGTCTCCTTTTGGTCCCCCACCTCTCTCCCTCTCTTTTCTTCTCCCTCTCCACCCCCTCCTCCTCCTTCTCCCTTTCCCACTCTTACTCTCTCACTAGATCCCTTTTCCTTGACATTTCCAAGGGGAACTCAGCCAGAGTTTGATCCAAAATAGCGGATTAAACTACTAAAAATATAACGCAGGAAGGTTCATGCTGTTCACAATGATGGGAAGTGATTCTCTCCACAGAGTGGGTTCCCTACCAATAGCAGCTGGAAACCTCCCCTGTATCAAGCACTGAGAGAGCCTTCCTGCCTGCTCCCCAAGAATCATGGCTGAGGGGACATGGAAGGGACCTCCTAACTCCAGATGCCACATTGCTCAATCGATATGTTCATTTCAACTCATTTATAGAATATTCAAAAATCTTACTGAGGGAGATGAGAACTTATCCTCCTTGATTAGATTCCATGACTGGAACCATTTCTTCCTAAAGGACTGCAGGTGATGCTGAGGGGAGCCAACCCACCCTGAAGCTCTGCAGGTGGGTGCCGAGAGAGCTGAGGCCCCTATATTTATACCAGAACATCACTTGGGCCTTTGGGTGTAGGTTTCAGTTTCATCTCCATCTGCCTTCTCAGAAATAAAACTGATGATTCAAGTGCCATCAAGTTCAGTCTGCTCAGAACGCAAGAGTGACTGCCAGGTCCACACAGCTTCTCTCAAGTCCCAGTGTCTCAAAACAGAGATATCAGGGTAGGGAAAATAACCCATAGCAAGTCACACAAGGACATGAGCTACAGAGCCTCAAATGCAAACCGAGTCGTGTGGCTCCAAATCAGGGCTTCTTTCACTGGACGGAGTTGTTCATCACCCACGCGCTCAGCTGCTCGCCGCTGTCTCATTACCCTGCACCTTAGCCCACACAGCAGTCCCACAGCCTAGTGTTGTGGAGATGCTCTCTGTACAGGACGCCGACAACAAACCAAGGTCCAGCGTGGGGAACTAATGAGTTTCCTGGGCCCAGGAGTTTCCCTGCCAGCCGCCCGCCAGGACAAGCAGCATGTGAAAATGCCGGTAAGCCACGAGCCACGTGGCAAGGTATAGATTTGTAGAAATGGGTTACTTTAAGATATAAGAACAGTTAGCAAAAAGCCTGCCACAGTCATTCAGTTTGTAAGCAATATAAGTCTCTGTGCTTACTTGGCTGGGTCTGAGTGGCTGTGGGACTGGTGGGTGACAAAGATTTGTCCTGACTGTGGGCAAGGCAGGAAAACTCTAGCTACCCACATCATGAATGAGGGATTACTTGAGAAAGTGTAGAGAACTCAAAGTAGCCACAATGCCAAAACATCTCATATCCCGGCCCAGGTGACGATGACCTCCCATAGCTGCATGGATGGCATTACCCCATCAATTAACCTTCCCCAGTCTGTATACTCTAGTACTTCCTGAGACCATGAGTTCAGGGACAATTAGGACAGAATGACATACAGCTGGCCAAGAGGTACTTGAGGGAGTGGCATGAATCTAATGACCCTCCATCCCCTCCTTCTAGATCTTGGGGGTCTTTTGCAAGTAGTGGTAGCTGTTCTGCTAAGGGTGGTGGCTTTTAGACTTGTAGGCAGTGTTCTACAACACTCACAGCTCCCATGGGCTGGGGAGGTAATATGGAAGGGTCCCATTAGGGCTTTCA